TCTATTAGCGGTGACGTTTCGATCTAAAACCACATCATCGGTTACACAAAACGTCACTCAAACTTACCCCGCGATTACTAGTGGCAAGATTACCGGCACAACATCGGGATATGAACGGGTCATTCTTTAAAAAAAAAAAAATAGAAAAGAGAACCGACAAAGTTACTCGATCTCGTAGTCACCGTGTTTCTGCGTACAGTAAATGTTCGATCAGGGACCGTGTTACAAGAGTTAGGTTCAGACGGTTTTCAGTGTGTATGTGCCCCCTTGTGTATGCACACAGCGATTGTAGTAGACCGAGTACACCTATAGCACAGACAGAAATAAACAGCTAAAAATATACTTACAGAATTGAGAGCCAAATTTAATTTTAAGATTTGTATAGTCGCCGTCGACACGCATACATGCACACATTTACACGGTAGCAGACAGTCTAAAACTGCTTGGTTACCTGCAAACTGTATCCTTTTCCTTATTGCGTAACGCATAACCACAACGTGACGCCATACGTGACATAAAACTAGACAAATTGTTTATTTTCGATGGTATCCATGAATGCAGCGGACCCAACAGGTTTGTCTGGACCTTCCAACGACAAGAGAGATATTGGCACCCTTACACGTTGGAAGATTATTTAAGGGAGCCCTATAATCCGTCGTTATGCTACAAAAACCTAGAGAATCCGTTATCCCTTTATGGAACGCGATGAGTCCCTGACTTACCAGAAGATAAGAGTCATTATTACCCTGCAAGCTTCGGATCCAATGATACGGTATAACATACAGTCATATCGTGACCATATGTGGGACAACATTAGAGAAATAGCACATTTTTTATGGGATCAACGAACGCAACGAACCTGGCTGGTATGCCAAAACATTCCAGCAAGGGAAACACTATTTATTACCCTTACAAGTTAGAAAGTTATCCGCAGACAACTTACAACTGCATGGTGATACCCTATGTGGGGCAAAGCTAGAGAAATCTTTCATTTTTTTATAGGACCATCAAAGGCGACGAATGTGGTTGATATGCCAAAACAGTCCAGCAAGAAAAAGACTCGTTATTACCCTTACAAGTTAGAAAGTTATCCACAGACAACTTACAACTGCATGGTGATACCCTATGTGGGGAAAGCTAGAGAAATCTTTCATTTTTTATAGGACCTTCAAAGGCGATGAATGTGGTTGATGTGTCAAAACATTCCAGCAAGGGACAGACTTGTTATTACCCTTACAAGTTAGAAAGTCATCCACAAACAACTTACAAGTGCATGGTGATACCTTATGTGGGGCAAAGCTGAAGACTGAAGTAAACTGTCCCTGAAGAAGGTAACTTTGTTACCGAAAAGTGCTTCCGACAACTACAGTGTCGTGTTTTGGCGTTGGGGTTCTGAGCTATTCTGTTTGTTCTATAAATAAAAACAATCACTAAACTTTATCATATTTTATTATAACAGGTGTATGACAATTTCAAACACGAAAATAAATTACTTTATGAATGAATCATTATTAAACCATTATTATTTGTATCTATTGTTTAAGACTATCCAACCAAAGTTAAATGTGGACGCAATTTCGGAATTTACTTTGTAGACGAAATGGTCTAGATACATACGTTAGATTGAGATTTATTGGAATAATGATATTATTGCGGTATTGTAAACTGTTTTTTTTTTACGACTGATGTAATTGAATTTACTGCACGGACCAATCTGAAAATTAATAACCCATTAGGACCGCTCCCACATGCGGACTGTAAAAAAGCAATTTTGTCGGCAAACGCCACCCACACTGTTGTTTTGCAAATTTACGAAAAAAAAAAAAAGAACAAGAACACGCAAGATTATTATCAATACGCCCAATCAATAAAAACAAAAGTTGATTTTCAAATCAAACGGCAAATTCGTAAATATTATAAACACTAGAGCAGATAGCATATAAAACGACCATCAAAACGGTTGTAAAATAATTTTACGACAGTGATACTAAGACACAGTTATGGCTAGTAAATCAAATGGCTAACGACCAATTTAATTATTACTAGGTACATGCAAAATTCTTCACTCGTCCATATTGCACTTGATTATTATTACTTAACTTCCAAAAATATAGAAGCAACAACCAAGGAAACTTTTGAGTCACCTGAAACTTCCGCACGCACTGGTACAAAGGGTACCAGGGCGTAAAAATTAGTCATTTCCACTTTACCAGGAATTAACACCAAGGAATTTTATTTCGAAACTATAAATAATGTACAACCCAATCAATCTATGTAACTGGTTAAATATTTTTAGGTATCTATAAACGTTTTATTTACAATAATATCTAGCACCTACAATTAAGATTTTATTGACTTAAGACTACACAGTTACAGTAGTTAGTTCATTCTTATTTTATTTTTTTATGCTTATACGTGCGGGAATATACACTCTCTTGACTTCTATCCACTTCTCTCTGAACTGTTTTCAGTATATCATAAGTCACTTCTTCTGCAAACCCTACTCATCTCTACGTTTTTAAGTAAATTTAACATATAATATTTAGTTTTATTTTAATAATCAGTCTTGGAATAACCCAAGAAATAACACCCTCTATATATTATTTATTTCATTTTTTCCTTTAACTACCCCCATTTTCGATAACACGGAGAAGGGATTAATTTAAAATATTCCCCCGAGTCCTCTCTTAAACTTTTCTCGCCGCTATCTCACGGAAAAAAAATGTTTTCTTTTCCAGCTTCGTACTCCATAACTCTCTCTCTCGTCCCTAGGGTTTTACTTGCTCTCTCGTTCTCGCAACATGATAAAAAGTGTTTTAGCGATATATAAATCTTTGATCAAGCTAATCTTCTATCAACATATCTTATTTCAGTATTTTCCTGAGTACATTTCCTTTTCCAAAACAGATTTGTGAGAACAGTGCTTAATTGTGACGCCTTTCTAGCTCTGACCTCATAACATACGTCCTTACGTTCATATTTTATATATTTATCGAAAAAAATGCTTTGATGTTTCAAGGATTTTAAAGTGACACATTTGAACAATAAGTGATACATTACGTTTAACAGAAATAGGTTTTGAGTAATTTTAAGTAGGTATGTCTCTCTTTTAATGTGTAACTTTTATTAAATTCCTTAAAAAAGTGCCAAACATAATATGTTACGGATAGAATTGTTTAGATGTTTCAATGCTAAAAAATCTTTTTTAGACCTAATAAATTTTTATTTTTTTGATTTACTGTACGCTCGATTCAAAATTGCCCATGACGATTATAATTACTTGCAAATGCACTTATGGAGAAGATAGACATTGTCTTGTTACCTCAGTAGCTATAACTAGGGTAAAAAATAGCAGATTTGGATCGCAAATGTCTTAAATTAAACAAGAAATTTCTATCTCAAATTAATCTTGAATTTTTATTTTACATTTTGTTGTGTCAACAATTATAACCATAATAATACAACATCCCATGTATATTAGGTATATATTATTAGTAAGTCAGCCACTAATATTAACAACAGAGGGTAAAAGGTAATATATTTGAAAAGCAATTTTCATTAAATTAGCTACAGCTTCTTTTAAGAATTCATGTATAAATATTACCTAGCCTTTATGGAAACAAAGCAAGTAGAGAAAAAAGTTCATAAATTCGGGAAAACCGAAAAGCACCCCATAATAAAAACACAAAAGGAAGAAAGCTATGGAAGCTTACAGACAATATTAAATAGCTACTTGAACCCGTTTTAAATTTAAACGTTACTTAAGGAAACATTTGCCCAAATACTTCAATATACATGTCAAAATTTTAAGGTAAGACTGTACCAATCAGGGTAAATATCCTTAGAATACGTCAAAAATTTTTTGTGGTATGTTTCCCCACGATTAACTAAAACACTGACAAACACACAGACAATATAAGATATAATAATGTAAAAGGTACCAGAACAATTACCTAGTACCTATTACTGAATTGTACCATAAAAAAAGTATTCATTTTTAAAACAATCTTACCTCACCGATTCGAAGCCGGTGCTATTGTGACGGGTATCGTGACGTAAAGTTACAACTCTATCTATTAGCGGTGACGTTTCGATCTAAAACCACATCATCGGTTACACAAAACGTCACTCAAACTTACCCCGCGATTACTAGTGGCAAGATTACCGGCACAACATCGGGATATGAACGGGTCATTCTTTAAAAAAAAAAAAATAGAAAAGAGAACCGACAAAGTTACTCGATCTCGTAGTCACCGTGTTTCTGCGTACAGTAAATGTTCGATCAGGGACCGTGTTACAAGAGTTAGGTTCAGACGGTTTTCAGTGTGTATGTGCCCCCTTGTGTATGCACACAGCGATTGTAGTAGACCGAGTACACCTATAGCACAGACAGAAATAAACAGCTAAAAATATACTTACAGAATTGAGAGCCAAATTTAATTTTAAGATGTGGTTCCGTATTTTTATAACAGAAGCTTATCGGAATTTCAGCATCATAAGGTCGTCAGGCTTAACACTGGTTGGACACGCACATCCACGCCTTGTACCTCTACCCCTCTTAACTGCTGTTTTTGCCTCTAATATGTCTCTGACTAGACCTTCATGCCTGAGAAGGTGTCCTACTAACCTATCTCGCCTATTCCTTATTGACTTCCATAGAGTCCTCTGTTCTCCTATTCTTTTCAATACCTCTTCATTTCTAACCTTCTATGTCCACGGTATCCTCATTATTCGCAGGTAACACCACATTCCAAACGCTTCCGCCGCGCTCACCGTCCATGTTTCGCACCCGTACAGCGCCGCGCTCCAAACATACACCTTTAACAATCCTTTTCGAATTTCTTAAACAACCGTTGGCGACCATAAAAGTGACTTCTTTTTATTGAAGGCGACACGACTCTGCGATATCCTGTTTTATATCCCTACTACTCCTTCCGTCCTGACTTATCTGACTAAGAATTATAAAAAACAAAGCTTCCAATTTAATTTATATGTTACTTACCTACCTCTGGTTATTTTAAATAAATCAATCATTAATATGGACTTTAATAACTAATTTAAACGTTTCATCGGTCAAAGCTACAGTTGACGGTTAAATGAATAATGTTTTAAATATTTTCGTTGAGAAGTTTATATGATCGAGCATTTATTTTCGTTCGATTTTTTCGAACGTCTTCACATCTTAATATTTCTATGAACTTCCGGCCGAGTTCTAGATGAAAGACTAAATGTGTATTTGCGCTTGTCCAGAAAAAATAAATCGAACTCCAGCATAAAAAATCGAAAAATCGGACGTTATAGAGATAAGTACGCAAGCACCGTCAAGTGCATCTATCGGGTTATTTTTCTAATTTGTACAAGCCGCTACCTTTTCAAAAATTAATAAATAAGTTTGCCCCATGATGCCCGCATTATGTAAACACTTGCCATCTTAATACTTTCGACGTAAATTTTTGCCAGAGATTCGAGCAATAAATTAAATTTGTTGCGCTTCCCCCGAGGTATAAAATGTTCTCAGAAAATCTTTACAAACTCTACTTCGTCTATTGCAAATAAACTTTGTCAGACCAGATTTCTCAAAAATATATATACAATTTTTTTTTAATTAAAACAAATGTGAATTTATAATACCTAAAGAAACAAATCCACGAACTAAATTGTCAGATATCTACTCTCATTGACCCTATACATCAAGTACCTACTAAATCAGATATTTATTACGATGTCCTTCGGTGAATTGCATTTAGCTTCAAGACGGGGTCAGAGACAAATGGGGTGAACTTTAAAAAATTAAAACAAAAGAGCTTCTCGCGCATGCAGAGACGTTTGTTTT